TTTTTTTTTTGTAATATTATATTAAAACTTGAACGTCAAAGTTTGTCGTGAGTTTGTTAAGTATTTAACTTTATAAAGAAAGAGGGAATGAAATATAAGTTACTCAAAAGATGTGCGATAGATAGGCACAAAAAAAATTATTTGTAAAGCACGTCTATCATGATCGAATATCAAGTATTCATTATACACACGTAATACATATTTCTATTTGTCTTCCTTAATGTAAAAATGAATGACGTGCTCATTATCAAAACTTAAAGGAAAAAATTATATATTTTAAGGATTTTTCAATTCTATATATTTAGTCAAGCTAATAATTGGAGAAGCTTCCTAATACGTTGTAAGCAGACAAATTTCATACAGAATCGAAAAAAAGTCAGGAAAAATGGGCCATTTTAATACTCAGGTCACCAAAGTAAATAATACCTATGACAGTCGGTACGATCAAAGAAACGGAAAAAGGTTTTTTAGAATATATTAATATTGCCATTTTATTTGTAATATATGTTTTTTATTTCTTTTATACCAAACTTTTTTAACTGGATCAAAAATTTGATTAATATACATAATTATAGTGAAAATAGAATCAACAATATATAGTTATTAGTCAAAAAAATGAACGGCAGAAAATTTGAAATGTGCATCCTGTGAACTTCTACATTATTAGTAAATGAAATTTTTATTAAATACAGAGTGGTTTTAATGGGTACCAACTCAAAGGACAACAGTAAAGTATTTGAGAGTAATATTTCCATATGAAGACTTGTTTATCAATCCATTTCTTTGTTGTAAATACAATTTTTAAGACTGAAAGTTCTATAATTTATCAAATTTAACTAAATCGTTGTGGCTGCTGTTCTTTGTATTATTGCCCAAAGTCCACTCTACATTTTGAAAATATTTATTGAGAATCTTTTTCTTATATTGAGTGATTTATCTTGATGAATAAGAATACAAATTTTATTTATTATCGAAGAAAATTAAAGTACTATTGGTGAATTGTTTCTTTGGTAATAATTGAAAATATATGGTACAATTCACCCTGTATAATATACTTATGTATTTTATAAAATGTTTTGTATTTCTTTTTAAAAGCATTTTGAAAATGAACATATTTTTCTTTTCAAAAATTTATGCATGTAACATCTGTGATACAAGAGTTAATACTCACGAGCATCACCCTTGAAAATTTTTGGCGGCAATAGATAATTATTTGTGTATTCAGTTTTTAGTTATTTTTGTTATAACAATGTTCTCACACACTTTTTTTACTTAGACTATTATATTTTTGTACTTAAAAAAATTATTTATACATATAGTAAACCATTAGCTTTTAATTAATAAATTAATAGTAAAAAGAAAACATAGCCTTTCAGTTTTCACTTATTTATTACTATTATTACATATTTAAATTGTAAAAAATACATACTACACTACAGATTAAACAGCCATTGAAAGATCTTTCTCATCTTAATTAGTTATCAAGCTAAAAAATATCTTAATAATTAATATGCACAAATGAGTAAATATTTCTGAATTGTATAGTCTGTCTATATTAAAATTTTTAAACGTAACGATATAGTTGTCTTTTTTTAATGAATATACATTTTAAATGTTTTTGATAATAACAGTGTCAAAAACAGAG